ATAATGTGTTGCAGCACATGGCACAGAAAAAAATATGCAGTGACATACAAATGACATGCCATGGCACACGTCTACTCTATTACAATGAATTATTGTTTTTTTTTTGACTTAAATGTAAATGCTTTGATACAAATTAGTATTCCATATTTTTGTAAATATATTTTACTTTGATGATTTGTGAAAGTTATGATATAGTGCTTTAAAAGTTTGAAAATCTTGGGATCCCATTTATGTGATTTTACAAACTTGATAATTTTTTTGGAGTTATTCCCATGATCACCTTAATTTCAGAGTTAATTATAAATTAATAAGGGCAACTTTATGATTTTAGAGTTAAAAAAGAATCAATAGTAATAGTCGCTAGTAGTTAATAATGATAGTCTATAATAATAACATAATGAACCATGATTGCGTATAATTTATTGTAGTTAAATGTAATGTGCTTTAAAAATAAAATAAATAAAATAACTTTACTATGTTTTTATTTTTTATTTAATAAAAAAATAGAAAAATTTAAAATATTTAAACTTAAAATCTTTACCCAAACAATTTTTTATTTATTTTTTAAAACAGAAATCAAGTAGGCACTTAATTTCTTGGGTCACGTTTCTTTCAAATGTACGAATATGTGTGTGGAGAGGTTCCAATATAATTGTAGTACCCCTGATTCTACCATTGGAAACCAATTATTGGATCAACCCTTTTTTAATGAATTTTGTTGATTATTCATATATTTATTTTAGGTCAAAATGAGGGACCACAAGAAATAAGCATCACATAATTGTCATCTCTTTCTCATACCTTTTGAAATTTAAAATGGTTTCATCTCCAACCATCTTAGGCCACTTGCCATGTGATTAAAAATCAGTACTTCATTGTCATATCCAACTCATAATAACACATACAATTGTTTTGATAAATATTGCGTATAATTTTAAGTGATTTGTACGAAATCCCTGCTCTAATTTTGTTTCATTTCTTAAAACATTTTTTTTAAAGGACACGATATATTTTAATTACAGCTGTAAACTTTAGTCTTATGAATAAATAAAATATTACATGAGCTTATTTTCGTTGAAAGTCATCACAACTTAAATCTAGATTAATTTATACTCCATTCAATTTTATTTATAAGCAATTTTTATTAATTCCATCAATACCAATACAATAAAAGTAACAAAAAATAAAAGTAAGTAAAATTTTAAACATAATTCTCAAGTAAAAAGTAAAAAATAACAAATTATATAATATTATTTTTTCTGTATCTTTTTTTCTTTTACTTTTTATGAATAGTTTATAGATTTTAATTTAAAATAAAATAATTTCATCAGCGATTTATAAAAGTAAACTAGATTGTACTTTAAAAGACATCTAATATATAGGACTGGAGAGAGTAGCATCTAGTTCCAGATAATTTTTTAAAAAATTAATATTGATTTTAATGTTTAAAAAATAATAGAAAATCCAAACAATTATTAACCTAAAATTTGAAAATGTGGATCTTAAACATGATTTTTGGTCACAGAAAAATCTAGATGAACCAATAATATAGAAGGATACCCCATCCTTAAATCTTGTCATTGTCCCTACTGATGCAGCTTTTTTAGCGGTTGCTAATTTTGTGTCTGTCACAAAGCAAAAGCAAAATCCCATTCCTCTGTTGTCCCTGTGTCTCAAAACGAGCTCCAAGAGTGAATGAAGAAGATCCCCAAAGAATTGTGAGTCCCTTATATTACATACAGATTGGCAATCTCCTTCTTAGTCAACCAAAAAACATGTCATGGTATTATGATAATTCTATTTTTTTTAGGGAAAAAAATTAAAAAAATGAGTAACATATATGGAAATAATGTTGGTTATGTTTAGAAAGAAAAGCTTAATGACAATTTGGTCCTTGATTTTTTTTTAAAAAATAAGTTGCAAATATTGATTCAAATATTAGTTGAAAATTCAGAGTTTTAATTACAAATAAGACATTTAAATTCTAAATCCTATTTTCAAATGTTTAAATCAATATTCATAATTTATGTTTTCAAAAATACATTGGGGACCTAATTATTATTAAGGGAGAATGACAATTAAGGTCCAAAACAGGAAATTAATAATAGTTAAGTCTTCAACAATTTTTTTTAGAAAAATCAATTGTAAATATCAATTCAAACAGTTACAAATTTAAAGATTCAAATTGTAAATATGATATTTAAATTCTAAATATAACAATTTAAAGGTTCCAATTGCAATTTGAATTGTTGTTTATAACTATTTGAATTGATCTTTATAGTTTATTTTACCTAAAATTTTGTTCATGACCTAATTGTAATTAATTCATTTTTATGGGACTTCAATATCATTCTTTCTATCATTAATTTGTTCTTTGGAGATTTAGTTGTCATTCTCCCATGTGTGTGTAGTATCCTATCTCGCACTCAAGAAGGCTGGGGACAAAAGGGGATATATGCATGAAGGTGGGATAGTGGTTTCCAGGTAGGAGAAGGGAAGAGAAAGAGAGTTGGGGACAACAACATAGTGATTGAGGAACAAAAATAGGGACTGTGATTGGAGTTAAAGAGATATGCCCATGTGAATAAAATTATAAACTTTATATTAAGGGCATCTTTTTTTTTTTTTTTTTTTATGTAGCCTTTATACTTTTTAGTGTTTAGTCACTCTCTTGTTTGGGTTGGATTTCTTTTAATACAATTATTTGATATTTGATTGTTCCTTCGCCTCATTTTATAACATGTCTTTTTTGGTAAAATTGTGAACGTCAATGAAATTAATTAAATATAATTTAAATTTCAATTTTTTTTAAAAATAAATATAAGTTTAAAAATATCATTTATTTAATAAGAAGATGAAAGAGAGAAAATATTTAAAGACTGAAATAATAAGGGATAATTTTTAAATAAGTTTCATTAATAAATCATTAACTTTTCAAAACATCTTATATTATAAAATATCAAATTAGTCTAATATTGTAACATGGGGCGGAAGAATTATCATTTAGTTAGATTTAAGCATTGTTATGTTTACTTTTTGGTTTTTATTTCCATATAATTTTCCCCCTATTTGCTGAGTTTGGAGTTTGGACCGTCAACTTTTCTAAAGAAAAAGTGATTCACTCAATTTTATGAAGCCATCGTGGTACATTTGTATGGTTTTGTGGTACCATTATATACCCACAACCTTTTTTTTCCTTTTTCGGTACACGTGAATAAAGTCCAAACAAAATTATATCAAATTAATTGTGAACAAGTCAAATTCAATTTATTCTTATACAGTAAATTAAGTAAACATTTAGGAGGCTCACTCAAAATTTATAATTCATATTCCTGTGATAAACTCCAATTGGCTAATTAGTCAGTACTAAAATTTTCTTCTCTATAAGTTCGTGCCACTCATATATTCCAACTATCATCAATCCTGTTCTGTATTTGACAAAGGATTCTATTCTTTACACAGAAATATGACAACTACTGTTGCAGCATATTTATAATTATGGTAGAGTCAGATTCAATTATAACTTTCCTCACACCCAATCTTTGCAGTGTGAGAAAACTAAACCGTCCCATAACTCCACCACCAAAGTTGTACATCTACCACAAATTTTTAATACTGCTACTGAGTGCTGATCATATGGACTTGGAAAAAGAAGAGGAGGATTTTACATGAATTCACGGGGTACAATTAAATGGGATGAGTTTATTTTCATTGTTTTTACCTCCACTACTCATCTATTGTTCAACCATTTAAATTAAATCTATGTTTTTAAAAATTATCAAATTTAAATCATCATATCTAACTTAATGATCCAGATTTATAATGATTCCTCCTCCGCCCTCCTTTGCAAAGCAGGAAGGCTAACTCCCAATTAAATACCATGAAGTCTACTAAGAAATCCACTGCATATATATATATATATATTTTTTTTTTTTCTTTTAACAAGTTTAGTAAACAAATCTATATCTGTTATAAAATAATGCATATTAAAAGAAATTTATTAAAATTTAAAAAATACTTGTACTTTTTAGAATTATATAATCCTCTCTTGAAAAAAAAATTATATTACAAAAATTTCTGAATTTTGTTTAAATTATGTAAACTTTTATATTTAAAAACACACAAACTTCCAGAGTTAATTTAATTTCAATAGAACGTAAATGAAGATTATGTAATTTAATTTTTACTTTTTTTTTAATTTTGGAGGGATGGCTGGATAAACTTTGAAAAGAAGACATGTTTTCATTTCTCCTATACATTGTACGGCCGGAATGGACCATCACAGTTAATTTATTTTAAATAGTCTGATTTTAATTTTTATCTTTTAATTCTTGATTGTCACAATGTCTTATTTAGAAGACAATTTTAATTTTTTTGGGTAACTATTTTGTTTTATTTCTATTAAAACGAAAAAGAGTCAAACAGAAAATCAATGTCATATAATCTCAACAATTTACAAATTGGCTTGACAAAAACCACCGATTCAATTTCCATGCACATCTACAACATGCTCCCTCAATCGATTTCTTTGTTTACGATTAAAAAAAAATCGATTTACAACATAATCCAGATAATGACAACACAGTCCAGTTCATAAATAAAAACCACATCAATTTTTTCCCCATAAATGAACAATATAATTCAGTTTCTTGCTCAGTCCTACTTGAACAAGTAGCCTCTAAAAAAGCCATTAAATCATCTTAATTCATACATTGAATTATTACATATAAAGAGTGTATTCAAGAAAGAAGAGCAACACAAGACAACATTAATTATGTACGAGATCCAGATCTCATCATTATGCAAGAACGTCATTTGGGATATTATAACTTTTAATCATTGAACTTTTTTCCCTCAATTATCAATTAGGCGCCTCAATTTGACACAACATAATTCCATCCTTATAGTTTATTGAATTAAGAAATTATAGAAACTATGTTGTACTAAGTTTAAAAACTATAAGGATTGGGTTATTTTAAATCAAGAAAGTTTATCAATAATTGAAGAAAACTATGTTGCACTCATTTTGTAAATATAGAGGATTCGAACTCAGTTTCTACATCCAAAGCTGCCCTGTTCTTTGTTTCCCGTTTACATTTCGAATCGTCTTCATTGCACATTAGAAGTAATAAATTTGAACAGGGTCCATAAATTCAAAACAATCTCATCAGGAAATAACTGATTCCGCAAGCAGCATTACTGAGAAGAACTAAAAGACGCAATAGCATCCATTTCTTGCTGCAATAAAAGAGCATCAACAAAGACATCCAAATTCTCACCTTGCATCACATCATCTATGGAGTGGTGAGTAATGCCGACTCTATGATCAGTCACACGGCCTTGAGGAAAATTGTATGTTCGGATGCGTTCAGACCTGTCCCCACTACCAATCTGTCCAGTTTCACAAGCCTCATGTCAATTTACAGAACAATATGTGGTCTCCTCATTAACAATGCCAGCAACAAACATCTCTTCCTACTACCTGCTCAGATCGAATTTTCAATCGACTGCTTTGAAGTTTGGACCTTTCTAATTCATATAGCCTCGCACACAGTACCTTCAATGCTTTGGCTTTGTTCTAAGCAGACATGGTCAGGAAAATATATGTAAGGAAACAATAATGACCACACGTGTAGAAGAAAATACATGTATAGACGGGAAAAAATGGCATCATCATTTATCAATAATTATAATTGACCAATCTGACTCATCTTTAACTTCTTAAATTTCCCTTCTGGCCAGTCCTGGAATTCACATGATCCAACACTGTTTGGTATAAATGTGGAAAGATATTTTATTTCCGATGCACAAAAAATTAAATAGGCGATGTGTATTACGTCCTTGTCATTATCACTCAACTTTTTTTATAACATTTTTTAATCAAGTGTTCTGTAAGTGCCATTTTTCATGTAACAAATCACCTTTTGCATTCTAATTCTATTCTCTTTCCCATTTCATTGCATTCTATGTGACGAAGGAGACATAGTTTGTAAAAAGGATAAAAAACAGTGAAAAATGAAATCTCATACAAAGTTTTAACCCTTCTACGGACAAAGTTTGAGGAAGTTTTGAGGAAACAATGTAATATGCCACAAACAAACTTTCAAAAAGAATATTATCCATGAGCATGAAGTGTAAATCTAATTTAACTCTGAGGTAACTCAAACAAGTAAAATTGTCAAAAAAGAACATGTGCAGCATACAACTCAACAGCTACATTGCCCTTTACTGGCTATCAAAAGAAATGAGGTAGGAAATAACGGATAAAGCCAATAAACATGATTGAAAAGTCAATCAAGGGAAATGTCAATTCCTGTGCTTCTATCTTCAATTAAACCTAGAGCTGAAACAAACATAATCATGACTAGCAATATGTGAGTTTCGTAAAACTAGCAATATTCACCATATGTTGGGAACGCTCATCTTGTATTGCCACCACCATCCCAGTCGGAATGTGAGTTACTCTAACAGCACTATTGGTTGTATTTGCATGCTGACCACCCGAACCACCAGATCTATAGGTATCAATTCTCAAGTCTTCATTCTTCAACTGAACGTCAACCTACAAAAGGCAAAGGCATGCAATAAAATAAGATATTGCAAAAAGACAGCGGGAAAGGAAACATCATATTGTACCAAATAAAAGAGAACATACAAGATAATAAATTTTATAATTCAATTAAACAGAACCGAGGGAAAGAAAGAGAAAAGGAGATGCAGGTTAAGTAGAAAGTGATGCCAAGTTTTGTTATTATAAAGGAAAATATATTTCAAAATACCAAAATATGTTCTTGGATACAAGAAACATTCAAGTACCAGAACACTGTACCCCTCCCTCCCCCCCCCCAAAAAAAGGAAAAAGAAAAAAGAAAACAAAAAGAAAAAGAAAAACACAGTGCATTGATCTGTAAGAAAATTACCTCATCAGCTTGAGGGAGAATGGCGACAGAAACAGCACTTGTGTGAACACGTCCTGACTTTTCTGTCACAGGAACACGCTGTTAAAAAAAAAAAAAAATTGTCAGTAATTTATGAAAGTAGTTAAAACTTCTACATAATAGAAAATAACTAAACCTGCACTCTGTGAATTCCACTCTCAAATTTAAGTTTCCCAAAAACACCAGCTCCTGCAATTGCAGCACTAGCCTCCTAAGAATTTGAGGTCCAAACAGAAAATACATCAGCTATAAGAGGACAATCAATTTTAATATCAACAATTGATGCAACACAGTATAAACAAAAGTGAAGAAATAATATGTACCTTGTATCCTTTTAGATCAGATTGAGCTACATCTACTACTTCAAACCTCCAACCATTTTTGTGAGCATACTTTTCATACCTATTTTGCATCACACAACATCCTCATCAGAAGGCTTTAGCAAACAGTTTCCAACCAGTTTAAGAAACAACACAAGTGATCTCACATTTTAAAGATGTCCATTGCAAATAAGGAAGCTTCCTCTCCACCAGTACCTGATGAAACACCTTAGTTTAGAAAAATGACAAAACAAATGCCGGGGACTAGGGAGGGAGGAAGTACATATGAATAGACATCTTAGCAAAAAAAAAAAAAACAGAGAGAGTAAAGTTGAAGCAGTTGTTTGATAAGCATCAATATAAGATGTTTATTTCCATCAGTGATACTTTACCTGCTCTCACCTCCAAAATACAGTCCCTTTCATCAGCATCATCTTTGGGAAGTAATGACTTCAGTACCAACTCTTGCAGTCTTGTTTCTTCTTCCAGGGCCTGGCCCAGTTCTTCTGTTGCCATCTTAACCATCTCTTTATCTTCAGAAGATTCAGCCAATAATGACTTTAAGCTCTCTATTTCCTGCAGATAGTAAGGAAACTGTATCAGATGAAAAAGCAAAAACAAAAAAACAAAAACAAAAACAAAAACAAAAACAAAGCAAAAAAAAAAAAAAAAAAAAAGCTCATGGTAACTAATGCATGATGGAAAGTTAAGGTACTCTTCTATAACAGATGAGCAACTGACATGCAGAATTACCTAAAGGAAAAATCTGTATGGCTTCTCAGAAGCCCCATCCCCTTTTATGAAGACTACACTATCTCACCATGAAGTTCTATAACAGATGAGCAATAGACATGCAGAATTACCTCAAGGAAAAAATCAGTATAACTTCTGAGAAGCTCCATACCATCTTGTTAAGGCTACACTCTCTCATCGTGAAGTAAAAATAGCAGACTTTCAAAAGTTATCTCATATTAAAATAAACATTAAGGTCTGATTGGCACCCTAGCAACAAAATTAAGTGGTTCCTATCCAAAGAAAGCAAACCTCTGTTATCGGTACATTTTTAAGAGATCACATATTGTATAAAGGCCCGTGTCTTAGCTATACTAACTTTAGAATTAATATTTACACAGGGTCAGCATCATTCAACTCATTACCTTCTGTTTGGCTCTCAATTCATTAATAATGGCCATGGAACCACTTAACTTCCGAAGTTCCTTATTAGCTCTGGCATACTCCGTTGGTGATGCTTCTGGCTGTCTTCAAAAAACAACAAAAATTGAACAAGAGAAAACAATCTCAATAATTAATGACGTCCAACATTATTTATACATGTAAGGGCTACGCAAAGATTTATGCCTTCAAATTTCTAGAATTTCAAGAAAGAAGAGTAAAACACAATGAAGAAAGCAGTGCAAAGGATTACCTGATTAAGAAAATTCTGAAGACAAGCAGTCCTGTGTTCAATGGCCGACAGTCTTTGTTCCATTATGTTTAGGAGGGCCGTAGACATTTGGGGTAGTATTTCTGTTCAAAATGTAAAATAGCATGATTCACAATTATAACAAATTCTACACCGCATTTCTGTCTCCTCCCATCAAAGTGATTAGTTATCAGTTATTACTCACTATTTTTCCCCCCTTGTGAGAGGAAAAATAAAATAATGAAAACTACTTCCACTCCGTCCAAGCATATTTAACGCCATAAATTTTAAATTCACATAAAATAATCCAATTGACTAAGTACATAAAACAACTATGCAAGAGCACAGTAGTAAATAGAAGTTGAGAACAGAAGTTAACAATTAGAAGAAAGAAAGAAAAGAAAAGAAAACGCACCGGTAGTGTAAGAGCGAAGAATGGCAGGGATTGAGGACTGTAAGACTGAGCCTCGAAGCTGAAAATTTGGATGTGATGTTGAAGAGATTGATTCATATTGCTTAAGCGCCAGAGAAAGTCGACGCCAAATAAACCCAGCCTGCATTCTCATCGTCATTTCGTTTCACTTTAACAACACCACAACTAAATTAAATCTCTCTTCTCCCGTCAAGCAGCCATTTCGAAGATATACTCGCCCTTCATCTGTGAAGTATTACAAGGAAAAAATATGAAATTTTTTTGGAACAGGCCAAAAATGGACAACAAGAAATACTCGCTGAAACTCTAACAGAGAATCTAGCAAACTGAAGCTGTGTACCAAAAGGGTCATTCGTTATTCTGCTAGGCGGCTTCGCAGACGAGCGCGATCAAACCTGTGATGTCGGAACTTTGAATGATAGATTAAGAAATTTAGGAACGGTTGGGGGCATGAATATTATAATTAATAATTTGCTAATTAGAAAAAAAAATTTAAAATGCACAGAAGTATTAAATGGGCCTATCTTCGTTTGCGGGGAAAAACATTGACGGACCATCATGTTGGGTCCGGCCCATTCCATAGGTGATTTTTACCTGAGATTTGTTTTTTTTTTTGAGTAAAATATATTAAGCCCCTTCTAGTTTATCTTAATTATATATACATCTCTTTTATATTTAAAACACATATGAATTTTTTTAAAAATTAATAAACACAATTTTTTTTACTTTTAAAAATTCATTTGCATCCACCAAGCTGTTGGTTGATCATTAAGTTATAAATATTCAACAAAAATGTCCTTTTGAAGTATTATCTAAAATTACTTTAAAATATCAAAAAAATTAATGCATATGTTTTTAAAATTTTATTCATATTTTAAACTTTTTAAATAATTTTAGAGATTTTTATTTAGTAATTTTTAAAAAATATAAATATAAAAGTTTTCTAAAATAATATTACAAACAGGTTTAAAGAAACATAATGAAATAGTGATGTGATATATAATAGGAAAAATTAATCTTTTAATCTTTCAATTTTTAATTCACTTGTAACTCAATCTCTCAATTATGACTCGCTTATAACTCAGTCCCTCAACTATTGAATCACTTATAAATTAGTCCTTGAACTTTTGTTAACTTTTTTTCATATTAACTTATATCTCACATCAATGTGCAAGAGGAGGGTATTTTAGAATAATGTATGAACATTTTTTATCCCTCTTATTTGATAAGAATTTTTTTAAAAAAATTAAAAAATAAGGACTAAATTATAGGTGAATCAAAAGTTGAGGAATTGAGTCGCAGTCAGTTATAGTTGAGGGACTGAGTCGCAGCAAGTCATAGTTGAGGGACTGAGTTACAAGTGAGTTAAAAGTTGAAGGATTAAAAGATTAATTTTCTCTATATAATAAAAATAAATTATATTTATTTTCTGTTAAATTTAGTTAATTTAAACACAACATTTCTAAATTATTTACTTAACAATTTTCTTAATTATTTAAATTTTTTTGAATTGAGGGGGAAGATTAAAAATTTAGATTCTAAGGAAAAATTAATAATTTTAAGTTTTTTAATATAATTAAAAATAAAAATAAAAATATGTTATAATATTTGACGAGATATTTCTAACGATGTTAGAAATTAGATTGATGAGTAGGTTTTGAAAATAGAAAGAGAGTTTCTGTAATTTTAACTTACAAGATAGAAGAAAGGTCATTGCAATTTATTCTTGTTTTTTTTTGACCTGATCCCATTTCATCGTTCAATACCAACAGATTTATAATAAATTTCTTACCATAGTCCATGATATTGATTGAGGGCGAAGAGAGTATTTCCGGCTTCCATGCTCAACGCCGGCGAGGCCATTGGAGATCTCACGACCATGGGTTATGAGGATAAATTTGAGAGAAGGCGATAGGTAGATGATGGGAAAAATGATGAAAAAGGGTAGGCGAGAACGACGGAGGACTTCTTAGACGGAGAAAGAGCCGAAGAGGGAACGACCATCGGGCTGTTTGGTTCTGTTTTTTGTTTTTATGTTCTTAAAATAATTTTATAAAATAACTTTTCAGAACAAGTTTTGGAAACAAAAACACATCTTCAAATAGGTTTTTTTCATTCTTTTGTCTTTCAGAACAAAAAACTGATATGAAAACAGGTTACCAAACTGGCTCTTTGTTTCTTCTTAGCTAATCTCGTGCGTTTGTCTCTACTTTCTATGTGAATAGTTTAAGACTGATGCTATCTGGAGTAAGATACACCTGTTATCTAGGGAAGACACGATGAGATAAATTCTAAGGTAGTGTTTGGTTGGAGATTATTGGATTTGAGGGGAGGTTCTCGTTAGTTGGGTATTTAGTAGATGCTCTAAAATAAGTATGTTGTAGTATCTTTCAAAAAAGGAATTTAGATTTTAACGCATAAATATGAAAGCAGATACAGTACGCATGAGTGGAAGGACATATATTGATTCTCAATGGCTGGGAAAACTCAAAATAGATCGTCCTACGTCTAGTGGCATGGAGTTTTGGCATCCACCTTCACAAGGAGCTATAAGACTTGATGTTGATGGTTCTTGTTTAAATGAAGTAGTAACTTATGGAGGATGTATCTCAAATGACAAAGGAGCTTGGGTTATGGGCTTCAATTCTAAGCTTGAGAATTTCCCATCCACTATTGCTGAAGTTCTAGCAATTTCTGAAGGCCTTAATCTCTGTTAGATTAAGGGGTTGAGAAATGTTGAAGTATACTCGGATAGTGCGGAAGCAATCAATCTCCTCACAAGAGGATACTATGAGGAGCACCCTTATAAGGACATCATTCAAAATGCTTGTAATTTCGTTCATAGAGATTGGTCTATTTCTATTAATTTTGTTTGTAGGGACGTCATTAGTCATGCTCATTTTCTTACTAGTGAAGCTCATTTTATGGAGAGTTCATTTTGTTTCTTTGATCATCCCCCACCTAATATTACTTTAGGAGGTGTATGATGATTGAGTCGACTCTCTTCGGTCTTGTATTTGCTTGTTGTACTATCCTATTTGTTGACTTTTTATGAATTTCAGTTTCCATTAAAAAAAAGGACATATATTTAGAAAATAAACTAGAATGATTAATGGATGTTATTAAATAATATATATTAGCTAGCTCTGCAAAAGGTTTGAAAAAGAAAAATAAAACTAATTAGAAATCATTTAGATAATACTTTTCATATTTAGGAACAAACAAGATGGGAAGCAATAGTTGGCAATTATACATGAATTTATCAATGCAATTCAAAGTTATATTGTACTCTCAGCAGGCACATTATATGAGTCAAGTCCTTATTGAATTTAATTGAACCGTCTCTTCTGAAGATCCTTTCAAGGAATGTATTAGCGATGTTGTAGGAGATTGTAGGGTTGGTTTTGGAGGAATTGACAATGATTGAAGAGATCCTTCTAACATTTCTACCACTTTACTCATAGCAGGTCTATCTAAAGGATTTATTTGAATACACCATAGACTCACCAGCTTCATCTTCCATACCACCTCATTTTCATCCTCTATGATAGTTGAAGAATTAGCTTGATGATTACCTTGTTCAAGATCCTCATAAATCCGATATGGAAAATACATTTCTTCAATAAGCGATCCTCCACTATCATAATTCTTCCTTCCTCCAACCATTTCAAGGATCAACATGCCGTAACTGTAAACATCAGCTTTGTGAGAAACACCACCAAATGCTCTATTGAATATTTCTGGTGCAATGAACCCTACTGTTCCTCTTGTGCCCCCTATTGACACAATACTCTCTCTCTTTTGACATAGTTTAGATAATCCAAAATCTGATATCTTTGGGCAAAATTCATCATCCAAGAGAATGTTTTGGGGTTTGATATCAAGATGCAAAATTCTTGTATTGCAACCCTGATGCAAGTACTCAAGCCCGCGAGCAATGCCAATAGCAACTTGATATAACACCTTCCACTCCAAAGTACAAAAAGCATTTGGAGATCCTCTTTTATAAATGAAGTTATCCAAGGAACCATTTGACATGTATTCATAAATTAGCACTCTTTTGTTGCTTTCATAACAAAATCCCAATAGAATGACTATGTTGATATGGGAGGTTCTACTAATACTTGCAACTTCATTTATAAATTCCTCTCCACTTCCTTTAGATTCCCTTATTACTTTTACAGCCACAAGACGACCATCAGGTAGGCTTGCTTTGTAGACAACACCATACCCTCCTTCACCCAATTTGTCTGAAAATGATTTAGTCATTCTTATCACTTCTGAATAACTATATTTCCTTGGTGCCAAAGAGCCATAGTTATTCACAAAGGATTGAAGATTGTTATCATGATATGCTCTCCTTTCTTTGAAGATTTTCCTTCCTTCAATTCTAAAATGCTTCTTGCAATTATAAATGATCAAGATCGATATCAGAGCAATTCCAATAACTCCTGCTGAAATGGCTGCATTTATAGAACATAAGAAGTTAAAGTCCCTGTTAAAATGCAGAGGCTTATAAAATGAAAGCATTACTATGTTTTTCACCTAGAGCGAGTCGCGGACCCAACTTCTTAGTTGATCCTGCAATTAGAACTTCAACAATTTGGATCAGATAAATACTATTCACTTTATCATCAGAAAGGTATAGTAAATTTCAGAATACATCACAATAGATTGATCCTTATGGAGGCAGAGGTTTTTCTTATTCTGTAATGTGAAACCATTTTAGTTGTAAGTTGTAACATTTGCTTGTGGAGTTATTTTGTAAAGACGTCTAATTTCCAGAGTCTAAAGCTTTCGCTCCAAAATTATAAGCTTCAAGATTTTGAACAATATTAATTAAATTCCTAACTAAAAATTAAGATGACAATCTCATCTTCGTGTATTTAATACAGTGATATTGAGTAAGAAGGATTTTTCCCTTGAGTTACAACGCTTCTTTCTGTTTTTAGTCTTATTAATTTAACGATACTAAGTACTGATAATGGTTGTTAAACGCACAGAGCCCACCCTATACAAATACACATGGGACTCCGAGAGAGGAATAACATGTTGGAATATTTTGTGAACAGTATACATTAATTAATTATGAGCTTAAGTAATCAAGTTTAGTTTACTATTGAGTTCAGAACAATTTAATTTTTATAATCTTGTGTGGGCTATGACAGACGAACTATCTAAGTAAATCCTTTGGACAAATGCCCAATTTACAATTTTTCTAGTTGTCAAGCTGATTGAGTCAAAAAGTTTATAAGAGAATTAATTAATTATATTCTAAAAGGGAACTAACTCAAAATCTTCTACACGTTCTAACATGGTACATAATAGATTTTTCTATTTCACCCTCTCAGTCTTTCTCATACTCTCTATTTCCGGTGAAGCTAAAAGGTTCGAGAGAACTGAGATCTTGACTTGAGACTATATGATCTCTAGAGTAATGAAGTCCTTGTCATTGAACTTTTCTTTGATTAGTTTGACTAATTAATGACATATTTTCATACATAACATACCTGAAGATCCTTGTGATTGTGAACACGAAGTTGTCTGGGCTCCATCGTTGCAGAAGCATGAGAATTGATGACCATCATAGCCACACTGCCCACCAGATATTGAGCATCTCTCGCACTCCTCGTTACTTACCATCCATTTCAATTTCAACCTAAATATCGTACCAACATCGGCAACGTTTTCTTGATATGACATCGGCATTATCACACTCTTGCAGTTGCCTGTATACACTGGTTCGAGACTGTAGTAGACCAGTTCAGAAAAATTAGGTGCGTCGCAGTAATAAGCAGAATCATAACGGGCTGGGACAGAGGTGCAATTGTAGAGAAATGTCACGTTCATAAACCCATCAACGTAGTGGAACAGTGCTGGATCGAATGTGTTGTTTCGGAAATCAGTTGAACAGAAATTGCGATTCATATCCACTGTGAGAGTCTGCGAAGTCCAGTTCAAATTATGAAGCTGATATGTGAGGGAGTGTATGGTTATCGTTGGGGAACGATAGCTTTGGCATGTGAGCTGGAAATCAGGAAGACCACAATAATTGGGTCTGTGTCCTCCCCAGAAGGGATATGTGAATTTGAGATTTTGGATGTCTCCGCAACTAAAAGAGCTACTTGAGCAGCTGGTATAGCGACCATCATCGGCGGCAAGAGATGATGATGGAAGAATACAGAAAGAGATCAGCAAAAGAAAAAACATGGAGGATGGATTAAGGGGAGATTCCATTGTTGACTGTGGAATCTGGAGTAGAGTATGGGGGAGATAGCTTGCCTTTGAAAATTCCAAACTCAAGACAATTTCCAGGAAATTAGGATGGAAGACCGACTGAAGTCAACATTTTATACAGCCAATGAGCCAACTCCAAACTCAAGACAATCCGATGCCTGAATATTAGAGTCGTGTTTGACCATCCAAAGAATTTTTTAAAAGAATAAAAATATTTATTTTTCAACGAAAAAAAATTAATTGTTAACTTTTAAGATATAATTTTTATAAAAATAATATTAGGATCAAAATAATTATTTTTTAAAATTATATATGATTAACAATTGCCAATTAGTTTTGCAAAATATTGAGTTAAAATAAATTTTAAATTTAGAAAGAGATTAGAAAAGTTAAAATGATAAATGTAGGAAAATGAGAGTTGGCACCAAATCATGCTTTTTCTTGGTGAGAGAAGGTTGATAAATGTAAGAAAATGAGAGTCGTCGTCAAAATTTTTGGAAAACCGTGGAAAATTATTTAATGAAAAAGGATGGTTTGCCAAAAGGGTTCAAGAGTTGATTATATGTAGGGAAGGTGTTAAGTGTAACATCCCAAAAATTATCCCCTCAATTAATTTAGCTAATGAAGGGTAAATTTATAAATTTAAGTATAAATGAGTTTGAGGATGGTTAGAGATGGCTAACAAGCCTATTAGGTTTGGTTTTAGTCATTAAATTGGGTTCGAAAATGAATTGGGCCACCTGGACTCAAATTGAAGAGAGAGAATTAAAATTTGGCTAACTGTGCGTTATGCTGCAGCATAAATGTCACAAATCTAACTTAAAAAGAGTATCTATGTGTGCAAAAAACATTGAATCGATGTTATAAAGATATTGGATCACTTGAATCGATGTTCGATTTAGGCGATTCAAATGTCCACACGAAGCTCTTTGAGCCTTCTAGCTAATGGCACCTGTTTTACACTCAAATAATCATCCATTTAAAAGATGGACACCTGAACTAAAAATGGTTTGTTTTCACTTCAAAACACACACCAAAGTGTCTAACTCACAATACTAAATACCATTAGCCTAGAGATACTTTAACCATCTCAAATGAACCACACACAATATGACAATTCAATTATAATACACAATTAAGCATTCACATTCAAAATGACTATTGAAACCCCAATTCATAACAACATAAAGGGGTGGATAAATTCTAACACATATGTCACTTGGTCATTTTGGCACATAGATCTTGTCAAATTCTTCACTTGTAATGGTAACTTGGCTAAGCACACACATTTAATCCACAACATCAATCTTAGACCAAGATACGCACACTTATCACAAATTCATACAAGTGATATCTAAAATAATGTCATATTCCTAAGTTGGCAATATATATTAGCAATATTCGTTACAAACCCAAAAGAGAAATGGGAAGAGCTATACTACAATGCTCTTCACTCTTTAATTGCCTCTTCCTTCCCCTAACCCTATCGGAGCCCTCACCTGTAAAATATAACCACGGGGTAAGATAAACATCTCAGTAACAGAATAATTCACTACTATTAATTAACATGCACAACCATAAGAGAGTAAAACTATGAAACTTCAAAATATACATTTAGCATATCATCACATATTCTGTTCATTAGTACAAATCTTTTACTACTAGCATGATCATTCTACCATCCAAGCCTTCATATCACCCTAACTGAAACCATAGGCTCTTAAACCAAGTGTACATTCACAATGATCTGAGCTCACCTTCAGTGGTAAGATCACTCGACCAAAGGTGTTCTATCCCACTTTCGGACTACGATTTCCCCCTATCGTACACGAATCGGGGTGTCATTACTCCAATACCACATCATTAATGCTAAGGAGCATTACTCTCCAATGCCATATCCCGTATAGATACTAAGGAAAAAATCTCCAACATCGTGCCTTACTAGACACTAAGGAGATACATGCCATATGGACTTCCATTACTCCTTCCTACGGGTGAACTCCTACCCCCTAACATGATCATGCCCACACTCAACATATATATCACATATACATTTCAAATTTCTCAACTCATTTATATATATAACTTTCATCATACTCATCATTTGCAAAAAAAAAAAATAGATTTTCATGCACAAAACCACATTTTGCAATATGCAAGGTTATCAAATCTCAAGTTTAAATCTACATATTTACTCACAAATAGTTAAGCAATATAATTAATCAGTGTAAATCATTCCATTACCTCAATCCTTTATCACACACAAAAGGGTTACCGTGGTTTAACGTTAACTCCACACGTTCTATACGCATGATATAGTTCGAGCAACGCTCAATCTACACAATCAAGTGACAATCATCAATTATCACTCCAGATAACTTCGAATTCTCTAGGTTCTAAGTGTCTAAAATGCCCAATTCATTTTCAAATAATATCAACCATTCCCAAACACTTTAACCATCCTATTAACATCCCAACACACCAAAATTTGCTAACCAATGTCCTTCATTGTCTCAAAATCCTCAAATTATACTTAGGGTTCATCCAAACCCTTACTAAAAATTCCTAATCACCACAAAACTCATAAACTTAGGGTTAGAAGCCTGATTTAACTCTCCAAGATCTTAAATAAATCAATGGGTTTGGTCTAAACCCAAGGGAACCGAAATCAAAGCCCTCATTGCCCCACCAATCTAGATTCTCGCATAAAAGAGGGAGAGGGAGAAGGAGAAAAAAGGAAGGCTTACCAATGTATATGAAGCTTGAAAGACATCTAAAATCACGTTGGAAGCAAGCCCTAGTTGTCCCAAGTCTCTCTTCGTCGCTACTCTCGAGTTCCTTCTTTCTCTCTTCTGTTTTTTGAGTCTAATTCGCGATCTGATAAGTGTAGATTTTGCATGTGCACTGCAGTGCATTGACACGCTTGCCGCAGCGCATGGCATAGAAAATCTCACAAAATTTTAAACTCCCTTTCGTGCCATGGCCCGTTTAAACATCAACCTAGCCCTCTTCTAAGACTGTCCAAGGATTTAAAAACCATATTAGTCTCTTATAAACCTCGCTAAATCAACAATGTATTTAAATTGATCAAATTACCCTTGAAAACACTGATAATTACTAATGGAAAAACTTAAGATGTTACACTGTGCTCCTCGATTCCTCCTCCTGTGATGACGTCTCTAGATCGGTATGCTTTCTTGTAACCCCTCTCTCTCTTTCCCTCCTCCATTTCGAACCTTTGTCATCAAAACCTAGTCATAGGTTCCTCTGTTTTTTCCCTCGAATCATGTTTCTTCCCCTCTTTTCTCCTTCAGTTTCCCTTTATGATTGAGTAATTTATTTGTGAAGAGATAGACTTGGATAGAGTGGAATGATTTATGGCTGTTCTATCTTTGATTTTGATTTTGCCTACCGATAATTGATTTTTCCTACCATTAATCAAATTGGGAACCTTTCAGCATTTAAACTAGACCTCTCAAATGAATTAACGCGTCTCAGTGAAAGTTTGAGAAGCATAGTCGTGTTATTTTTTGAGTAGTGGAATCTCCAGGGATGTGTGAATGCAATAATTCCATTAGAAATTTTCATTTTTGATTATTCAATAATGCTATGGGTTAGGTGGATGCAACAATTTATCTATTCTTTTCATCTAGAATTTTTTTGTGGAAATTATATGATTTATTAAATTATTTGAAAGCTCTATAATTAATTATATTTTGAACTGTCTATGATGTAAGTGATTTTGAATCGAATTATATTTATTGAGGCACTTGGGGTTAAGCTAAAGGAGGTAAGCTCAATGACACATGATTCCATCTTCTCTTTAAATAAGTTGGGGTCAATTTTTACGTTTTATTCTCTCATGATATACAATTTTTTTTTTGCAATTCAATCTTCAGATATTAACTAGCAAGTTTGGAATGATTAATATCATCCTCCAGATTTATAGGGAGATCATTAATAGAGCAATTATCGTAATTACTGAATTTTAGAATTCACATTTGATTCATTCCTTTTTTGTGTGTGTTTCATTCAGTATCAATAGAGATTGACCTTTTGTCAGTAAGCACCACATAAAACCTCCAATAAAATATTTCCTAGCTACTGAGAATGAAAGCTACAAGAATATCTTACCCAACACATGAATATGATTCCCACCGAGTAGCAGCCTAGAAAATTGCAAATGCCAAATAGACTAACATTATTGCAAGTGAGAAAATAAAAATCTCCTCAACCTTAAGAATATTCATAGCCTTCCTCCCACATTTTGGATATATTCAATACATAAAACAAACAATATGGTTGAGAAATATAAGATATCAAAATCATTTCTCAATTAGCAAAATATAAGCAGCAATGAACATTAACTACATGTTGGTATGAAATCAATATGCTCACCTCCTTTTAGCAGTGGGCAAATTGGAGTTCTAGACTGCAAAATAATAAGATACAAAACTTTAAGATCTTGGATTAGCTTCTTCGAAGTGTTAATATACAAGGCTCACTAAATGAATGCTTCTAATAAGAAATTATTTATTTTCCATGCTTGGCTGGCTCCCGTAAGTTCTATAAATTCTTGTTTTTTAGTGCATACTTATTTAATAGCATTTTGATTTTGTTATAATTTGAGTTCTAGAGATGATGAATTAAGCATTTTTTTTAACTTCATCCGGTTGCAACTTACTCTTGTTATGTTACTCAAGGTGTAAAAGTTCATTGTCATATCATTAATGTCTTGTTATGTCTTGTCATTTCTCAATTGTGACTTCTTTAAGAAATCTTCTATAAATTGATACTCGTCTTTCCATATGAATTACAAATATATTGTAATGTTAGCAATAACTTTTCATATGTAAAATGAGCCACATCCTATATAATCTTGTCATTATATTTCTTTTGTATGTTTATATTTGTTTATACACAAAAATTAATTGGGTTGATTGG